CTGTCTACCCAGTAGATGACATTAAAATTGATCCCTGGGGAACACCACTGGTGACTGGCTGCCAGCCTGAGGTAACCCCGTTTACTATAATCCTTTGAGCCCAATCTGTCATCCAGTTGGTCATCCAAGGTATTATGGATTTGTCTAGCTCTGTGCTGGACATTTTGTCCAGAAGGATACTGTGAGAGATGGTATCAAAAGCTTTGTGCAAATCCAAATAAAACCCACACTTGGCTTCCCTTGGTCAACTAGATGGGTGATCTTGTCATAAAAGGAAGTTAAGTTAGTTAAGAAGGACTTCCCCCTCATGAACCTGTGCTGGCTAAGACCAATGATTGCATTGACTCTCAAGTATTTTTCAGTAACTCCCAGAATAACCTTCTCCATAACTTTACCAAATTGAGACTGACAGGCCTGTAATTACCAGGGTCTTCCATCTTATCCTTCTTTAAAATCAGGACAACATTTGCCAGCTTTCAGTCAACTGGGACCTCTCCAGGCTTCCAGGACTGTTGAAAAATAATGGAAAGAGGTCCTGCGATGACACTGGCCTGCTCCTTCAGTACCCTGGGATGAAGCCCATCAGGCCCCATAGACTTATGTGCATCCAAGTGGAGCAGCAAGTCTTGAACAAGTTCAGAGTTGGCTGAGAGTTTATCATCCCCTCCATTACAGTTTTCCAACACAGGGCTCTGGGGTCTCAAGGCCCATCATTGGTGTTAAAGACAGAGGCAAAGAAGGCATTAAACATCTCTGCTTTGTCTACATCCCTATTTGGGAGGTGACCAACCTCATCAAGTAACGGGACAATGTTATCTCTGACCCCCCTTTTTCTTTTTAAAAGCTCTTTTTGTTGTCCTTCATAGTGCTGGCCAGCTTGAACTCTAATCAAGCTTTGGCTGCGTGAATTTTCTCCCTACAGTGGCGAACAGCATATCTGTAGTCCTTCCATGTCACCTGTCCTTCTTCCAATGTCCATACACTTTCCTTTCCTGCCAAAGTTCCAGAAGATTCCAGTTCAGCCAAGCTGGCCTTCTGCACCACTTGCTTGACTTACAACACTTTGGAAGTGCCTGCTCCTGTGCTCTTAAGACATGACTCTTAAGAAGTGACTAGCATTCATGGACCTCAATACCTTCAAAAAGAGATTCCCAGGGCACCTTACTGACTAGCTCCTTCAGCAGCCTGAAGTCTGTTCTCCCCCTGTCCAGGGTCGAAATTTTGTCAGCAGCTTTCTTCCCGTCACCAAAGATTTCAAACTCAACTACTTCACTGTCACTGTGACCAAGACAGACACCAATAACCACTTCACCCACAAGTCCCTCTCTGTTTACAAACAAGAAATCTAGGAGGGCACCTTTTCTAGTTAGCTCCCTTAGTACCTGCACTAAGAAGTTATCTTCAATGTGCTTCAGGAATTTCATGGACCTGTTCGTGTCCACTGTATGATATTCCCAGTCAATATCTGACAAGTTAGAATCACCCACAACGACAAGGGCAGCTGATCTAGAGATGTCCCTTAATTCCTTATAGAATAATTCATCAGTGTTGTCATATTGGCCAGGTGGTCTATAGGAGACTCCCACAACAACATATGCTTTATTTGCTTTCCCCTTGATCCTTACCCAGAGGTTCTCAACTGTGTCATCACCAACTGCAAGCGCCATATAATCCAACCCCTCCCTTACAGACAGTGCCATCCCCCACCTTGCCAGCCTTGCCTATCCCTCTTGAAGAGCCTATAACTGTCCATCATGACACCAGTCACATGACTCATCCCACCAGGTTTCACTTATGTCCATGATGCCGTAGCTCTGGGACTGGGCCAAAACTTCTAGCTCCTCTTGTTTATTCCTTATGCTGTGTACGTTAGTATAAAGACATTTCAAATACGCTCCAGTGCACTCAGCACACTGTGAAGCAAACTGGAGGATCTTACTAGCACACTGGCCTTCAAACACCAAACACTGGCATGCCATCCCATGGCTTATCACTAGTGAGCCTGGTTTTATCCCTTTCCCCCTTCAAATCTAGTTGAAAGCTCTTTCAGTAAGCCCTGATAACTTTTGCACAAAGATCCTTTTCCTGCTTTGAGACAAGCGTACCCTGTCTGTTGCCCACCAGCCTGTTGTCATGTAAACTGACCTGTGATCAAAAAACCCAAAATTCGGGCAATGACACCAGTCATGGAGCCAAGTATTGATTACCTGTGTCTGCCTCTTTCTTCCCCCATCATTGCCTGCAACTGGAATGATAAAGGAAAACATTACTTGTGCTCTTGATCCCTTGACCAGTTGTCCCAAGGCCCTGAAGGCTCTTTTGATCACCTTGGACTTCTCATTGCAACTTCACTGCCTACATGAAAAATCAGTAATGGATAATATTCTGAGGGCTGTACCAAGGTAGGAAGTTTTCTCGTCACATCTTTAACCCAGGCCCCAGGGAGGCGGCAGACTTCCCTGAGAAGTGGGTCAGGTCAGCACTTTGGGCCTTCTCTTCCCCTCAGAAGAGCATCTCCTATGATAATGACCCATCTTTTTTCTTTATGGAAGTGGTTTTGATGTGGGGCATAGACCAACTTAACCTTGGCAATACCTCCAACCTAGATAAACCATCATCCTCATCATTGTTTGGTTCCACTTGCAGAGCCTCGTACCTGTTGTGCAAGGGCACCTGGGAAGGAGGTGTAATCATGGAGGAGATTTGTCTGCTGCACCAGGCAAGAACTTGTCACCATTCCCCTCTGTCCCTTAAGTCAATGCATTCTGCCAGGTGGAGGGAGGGAAGGGAATCCTCCATGTCATGTGTCCTGTCTGCCCTACAGGTCTGTCCCAGGGAAGGTAGGTTGTGGTTCCAGTAGTCAATCTCTCTGTTAGACTCCCTGATACTCCTCAACCTACTCACCCCCTCCCAGAGCTCTGTCACTAAGCAGAGGAGTTCCTCTACCTGGGCACACCTCCCACAGGTGTGCTCACTGCTGCTGTCCGGGTCTGGCCTAAGAGCAGGGCACAACCTGCAGCCTGGCACCTGGGTGGCAGCATGTTCCCACTGGAGCTCTGCGAAGCTGCGTCAGTTGTGGTGACTTTACAGAGGATGTGGCCTTCTGCCAGCAGGATACCATTGCTCCCTCGTCCAGCCAGCAGAGTCACAGTGGCCTTCCTGCACGAACTGCCACACCATGCCCTGGCCGCTAGCGCTCCCTGGGGTTTCTTTTATAGGTGTGAGGGGTCTTGGCCGCCATTGCTCCTGGCCCCATCCGGGTCTCATCAGTCACTGTCACAGGAGCTGCAGGATCCTGGTGGGTCTCTCCACTCCCCTGAGGTTTCTCTGGTTCAGGAAACCACCCTGTGCACCGCACTGGAGAGCTCTGCTGTGGATTGTGGTGGCACCAGACCTGCTCCCCTCGGCAAATGACGTAGAAATGCAGTAAAACTACCATGAATAAAGGAAAAAAGAACCTCCAGGAAATATCTGTGTGTCCTAGGAATTAACACTAATACAGAGGTGAAGCGCCAGATCAAGGAAACAAGGGCCCTGGACTGCCAGAAGGTACATGCAGCACATGGCGGGGAGCCTACCCGCAGCCTGTGGTGAGCCCGGCTACGTCTTCATCCCTCTCCCTTGCTATCCCCAGAGGAGGAGCCCATGGAGGCAGGTGCCATACAACTGCCAAGAGTGGCTCTCAGTGCCCCCTGACTCCACATGTGTGATTTTTGCCAACTTCAAGGCTTTTAAACAAAGCGATGCCCAGTTTGGCCATGGCATGGTCCTGTGCAGTTCTCTCTCTGAGACTGACATAACTCTCCACAGCACAAGAGTACCCCTGGCACCTTTGACCCAATGTGGGTTTTTTTTGTTGTTTGGGGTTTTTTTTTAACAACTTTATTCAAAGCCCAGCAAAGAACATCTCTTACTTTAATAAAAAAAATTTTTACACGAATAGTACATGATCTAACTCCACTTCATTTCTGTACACAATATATGGCTATTTATAATTTATGACGTATTAACAATCTCAGATCCAAGGCCAGCCATGTCTTTGTGACAGAAGGCATAAGCAAGAAGAAAATGGGTCCACGCTCATGGAATTTATTCTACTGGAAGAAATATTTTAAAATAATTACATATTTGCAATCTATAATATAGTCATTTATATCAACAGCCGAAGTAGTAAGAAAATGTAAGAGTGCACAATGTCTCTGTAGAGCAAATACAAATGTTAACAAATGAACTTAAATATTTCAGAAGAAATTACAAGCAAAATTTATTCATAATAAAATACACTATTCTAGGTGGTATTTTTCCCATTTCAGTTCCATTCCCAAATAAGTCCTGTGTGTTTTTTTTTCCTCTGGAAGTAGCAGTTTTCTCTAGAACCAGATTGCTTTCTAAATTAAATGGTTCTAAACCTGGGTTTTTTTTTTCCAAATAGCAATACTGAAATAAGCGAAAACCCGGTACAAAAGGTTTTGCTGCTGACTTCAGTGAAGTTAAATCTTAGTGTCTGAAGAAAACATCGATGCAACTCCTTACAGGATTCAACAGATAAAGGCATGCACATGCAGACATACTTTTTATCCTCAAAAACACATAAAAATGAAAACACCAATCCAATGTCTGTACATTAGAGATATTATCTGAGTCACCAATGAAATACTCTAAGGCAAAATAAGGCAATATTAATGCAATGGAGTATAAATATAAATTATATTCTGTGGATGAGGCAGAAGCCATAAGCTGCTCCAGAGAAGCAATAGAGGGATACCTGGTCATCTGAACGCAGCAGTTAAGAAAGATCACTATGTAAACCTAATGTCCTAGTGGCATTATTGAGATAATTTTTTAAAAGGTACAATGCAACTCAGGAACATGTTTGTTACTCAACAAACTCCATCAAAACCAGTTAGATTACATAAAAGAAATCCATTTGTTTTAAGAAGTTATATATATATATTTTTTTTTTACAGACATTAGGTGAAAAATACATTTTATGGACAAAAATTTTAAGAAGCAAGACAGTAAAAATAATAATCACAGAACTAATCTGAACAAAGCCAAACAGGTAACAGTTCAGATGCAGCAGACTTAGAGAAAGCAATGCAACTCAAAACTAACCCTTGATCAGCTTGGGTTCTAGTGCCACCTGCTGAAATAACAGTATTTTTCCCCTTTGCAACCATAGCTAATATGCAATTTAAATTAATCCACTGCATTAGAGGGCAATACATGAAGAAAGGTCACAAAGAAGATGTGGTGCTTGAGTAATCTAAGTGCACATCCAGACTGCCATACAACGAACGTAGTAAATTAAGAACCTTCTCTTGAATGGTGTCAACCTGCTCTGAAGGGCAATAGTCATCCAAACTTGATCTGTAACAAGGAATTGAAAAAAGCATGAGAGAGTACAGATATCACCACCATCACCACATTTTGTATTCTTGTAATGCTTTGTGTCTAGGCTGAAGCTACTTTCAAACCGTGATGAGTTCTGCCTCCCAGTATCCCTTCAAAGTGTAGCACTGTGCTTCTCCTCACTAATTAAAACAGTAACAGTTTGCCTGAAGTTGAATAGAAAGTCTTGAGCAGATTAGGAATGTGACCTATTCATCCTTCCAATTCTACTCTCTTCCTGACTCTGACACAGAACATGTTGGCAGTCAAAGTTCGAGCAAGAGGACTAGTAGAAAGTCAAGACTGAAAAATTCAAATGCTACTAGTTAAGTATGTAGGAAAACTTGAAAAAGAAATCTTCAAAAACCCTGGGGTATAACATAGTTTACAGTATCTATTAATGAACTGCAAACAGATACTAGTAAAAAAGCAGATCTGACACTTCCTGGATTTCACATCTGTCAAGATCTACAAAAATGATTCTGTATTTTCTCTGCAACAGTGGATGATAACCCTGCAGCTGGCACAGGAAATACAGCTTTCTTTTATTGTAGGTATTAGCCAAACTATTTCTTGCTGACAAAAACAATTTCATGTCATCTGCTATTGTTGTCGGTCCTTTAAGGGCACACTTAGTATTTTTCAAGTGATTAAATTACAACAATTTGTCAACAGATACACTGTGGTCTTCAAATTAAGTTTTCCCAGGACAGAACCCTGGCTCTCCCTGGTTCCTGGCCTCAAACTCCACCCTGTTCTCCCAAATAAGACCCTTACAGTCCTGGAAGCATAACTTTTACCCCATACAAAGATTTACTAGAGCTTTCTAGAATATAAATCCCTTTCAGCGTATGAGATGAAAACCCCTTCTATCGGAAGTTCCACTGAAAACAGAAATCCTATCTGTGGTACAATGAACCCTAGAACAGGAGAGTAAGGAAGTTGTGATTTCAGCCCATGCAGGCTCGTCCAAGCCAGCTCTGCTCTAACCAGCACAAGTAATAAAAGTAGTGGAGACATATGAAACTCAGGGACAGCTATCAATCTCAACACACACCAGGACTCATGACAGGTTTTATATAGCCTGTGCTGAAGCTCGTTAAGTCATCACGTTTTCACTGCTTTTGAAACCCGTACTAGCTACTCTAAAGCCCAGTAAAACTGGCCATCAGGACAGAACATTCCCTTAGATACTGTCCACTGCCTTATAAGCAACATTTTCGAATGTCAATTTTCACTACACTGTAAGGCTTCCACTTTAAGACAGAACTTAAGATGTGCCAACCAGTGCTATATTGATAGAATAATTTAGCTTTGTAATAAGCAGTCTGAGCGTTTTGAAGTAAAAGTATTTACATAGTCTTACCGAGCAACTGTTACAAGTGTGGGCTTAGGCATATCTTTTAGTAGAACTTTAATGGATTGTATGAGGCCTTCGATCTCCTTTTCAGTGCTAACATGGTGGGGAAGCTCCACATAATCACAGGTCAGACCAGCCTGATGGACCTACATGTAAATTAAACAGAGATTTCAGTTCTGTTGATGAATTATTGATATAGCTTATCTGTGTGAAAAGTCTCTAAGATACTATCTCTATCCCAGTACGTAACTTAAACCTCTTCAGGCTCGAGGACTAGGTTTTCACAACTTGTTCTTTAAACAAAAAAGAATAAAATTCTGGAGGTTGTATGGATTGTTTCATTATCTCCAGTATACTGTACCTCTCCTATGAATTGAAAGTATGATACAGCCCTTGAAAATGACAGGTCTCATCTTTTACAAACAGGTATCTTATGTAAAGTTTTACAAAGTATATCAACAGACCCTGGTGAAATGAAACCTTCCTTCACAGGAAGCAGCCTGAGACATCACAGTCCTGAAAGACCACGCTAATTTTGCCTAAATATAGACAAATAGAGTAGAATTTTAGAAGCTTGAAAAAGAAAAGCTGGCCTAAGTAATAAGACATAATAAAAAAGGGAAAAATACCAACATCTCAAAAGTCCTGAATCAAGGTGCAAGTCTGAAATCAAGCATGATCTTTCTCCTTCTTGTTGAAGCCATGCTTTTGAAATCTGTCTACTTTCTGCTTTTTTACCTAGTCACCTACCATTTCATAGTCTGGGCTTTCCATCCTGGTTTTCAAACTGTGAACTAGTTGAACAAGCGGCTTCATTCTGGAGTTAAAACAAAACCAAAACTTGTTACATAAACAGTTACAAACACATATATTTATCTTAAGTGGTGAAAAAAACCCTAACCAACCCCCAAAAAAAGAAAAAACAAGCAAGAGAGAGAAAAAAGAATAAAGTAGAAGTTGTCATGGCCTAGGATTCGAAAATGAAATTTGCCCCTCTGTGTCATCTCACACCTGAGAAAAACAAAAATTGTCAGTACCATTGTACTGTTTCACCAGGTCTTTCTTAGCAAGACCCTATACTCGTACCTGCCTCTGGCAAGACATCTTTGCACTTCTTTTAGAGCAGACCTGGAGAGGAACTGTTGTAGCTCAAAGCTGTATGAACTTGATAGGAAATGCTTGTGGTCACTGTTACACAGACTGTTACACAGGCCTGACAGCAACTGCTGCATCTGATGGGGAAAATGAGTGATATTTCTATCAAGGGAAAGCTCAGACTTTTGCTGTTCCTTTACAGCTGAAAACATTTAGTTTAAAAGCATAGTGGATGCTGCTGAGATGTTTTGTGGACACTGTTGCTCAGGTATAGCCTTTCATTCACTTCCATTTACTTCCATTTTTCCACAGAAAGCAGAGCCTTTGGGACCACCAAATAAGTTCTTCTCCATATCCTCTGTAGTTTGTTGCTTTTTTGAGAGTTCTGCTTCACACAGATCACTAAATTTTTAGTGACCAAATCTGCCTCGCTGCACAGGCAACACAATTTGCATGAAGCTATACAAGTCTGATCTTGGAAGGCTTACCATGGCACTGAAGACAGCAGACTGCCTTTTCTTTTCTTTTGTCTGATTCTTTCTCCTCTAGAACTAAAGGAAAAATGGTAGCCTTGCATAGATCCTATCCAGCTTCTTTCATTTTGTGTCAGCAAAGTGCTGGGCTAATCAGTTCCCAACCTACTGTTTGCATTTTAAGCCATTTGGAAATCTCCTACCCAGGATACGAAGCCCACTTCTGTAGGGTCTCTTCATCATCATTGTCACACAAATCTGCAAACGCTGCTTCCAGATCTTCCAGCTGATGAACACGGTTTTCAACACAATCCAGCAAGCCCTCCTTTAAATAAGCACATATAAAAGTACGTTAGGAAAAAAAGAGATAAGAATGTCGTGGCTTACTCTACGATTTAAATTCTGAAATGACTGTTCTACTGGTGTTGGGGAATCAGAAACAACTGATTCATTACGACAAAATATCTTTTCAAGAGGATCAGAATGAACGCCTGCAGAAGCTGTTACACCTTCAGAATAAATCACCTCTCTTTGCTCTGTCTTTCCTACAAAAAAAGCCACATCTACATGCTGGTAGAATACACTGGGGAGAGCAAAGAAACTGTACATGACTAATTGTTGGATTACTTTCTATAGCACTGAAATGTTCAGATGAGTACAAGCTTTACATTTTTATAATGAACAGATAATTTAATTTTGTAAGTTTTTATAAAAATGATATTATTAAATAAAATGAATTTTCAGAAAAAAAACCCAAAATGGGCTATTTGATGCTTTGAGGTTGTTTCAACCCTGCGTGCCTGAAAAAACATGGAATTAATTTAAAATGTCAGTTATTGCTCTGATCCTGCATAGGTTTATGCCCTTAAAAAGTTCAGAACACCTAAAGAGGCAATCTTCTTGGAGTGATGCTACATACATAAATACAGTTGTGCATGCAAACATTTGCAGAGAGAGATCCTACATAACATATAAAATAAAAAGTAATGCTTGGTATTAAAAATGCTCTGAGCAGTGGTGTGTGAAGGAAAATTATTAAAAGGCACACTGGAATAGATGGGTAACAACTAAGAACGTAACAATTCCTTCTTAGGGTTCTGCTGGCTGTATCATATAACAGATGCTGCTGCTTCTCGCCAATGATGCCAAGTTTGGGCTAATTTTTAAGAGGAGCTGAGGATATCCACCAGTCATGAAGTACAGCTTTATGATCTTATCCTGGAGTACAAGTAAGATACTTTTCCAAACAGCACCAGTAACTAACCTTAAAGACACGTCCAATCCCCCTCTATACAACTTAAAAAAACAAAACCAAACAACCCCCCCCACCCCCAAACAACATGCTGTTACCTTGTAGTATGATAGAAATGTACATCTAACTGTACTCTGGAACTACAAAAACAAATTTTGAGAGACTAGATTTCTAGGATATTTTCTGAAACTTCAAAAAAACACTAAGTTCACTAGGTTTCCACCTTCAAATCCCTTAAATTGACAGTCTCACTATAAACCAAACCATGAATCTGGTCTTGCCTTGTTCAGTTCTACACTTATCCATTACTTACTTTCTGCTAACCATTTCAGCTGCCTCCTATAAACTTGTTGGCTTTTGTAAATAACTTATGCCCTGAAATCATATTGGGAACTTAAACCAGAAGCGTTTACCCCCTTTCACATTTAACTACCTTTTAAATAGGTAACAGTTTTTATTGCTGATTGACTAGGAAACATGAAAATCAATTGGACAATCTTCTACACATCTCCATTTCTTTAGACACACATATTAATTAGGATTCATTAATCTGTGATAATTGTATGTGTTGAATCTCTCTGTAATAGTGTTCAGATGAGATTATGAAAGCAAAGACAAGATCTTGTTTAGAAATTACTTGGTGTAATGACCATTAAAGTGGATGTCTCCGTGGTTTGGGCTTAGGGCTGAATGCCTATTTTGGCAGCTACAGCAGGCTTACACTTCCATAATTCAGAAGCACACAATGCATACAGTGAAAAGTACATTACAGTAGTGTAATACTGGCCTTTCCACATCTAAATAAATAGGTGAAATACCAGTTAGGCATTGAGCTCTGACTAACAAGGAAGAGCAACTACAACACGGAAGGGGAGAGCCTGGAGTGAAGAAAAAAAATAAAACCACACCAAAATAAACCTCAAAGCAAAACAAAAAAAAAAATTCAAAGCCCTGTTGAGCAATACAAAGAACAAGATTGTAGATGACTTACTATGTTTCCATTTCTTCCTTGTCAATTACCACTTGTTTACAGAAATTCATTTTCAAACTCATGCTAAATATTTATGCAGTTCACATGTTTAACCAAAACATTTAATAGGAAAGAACTTCTAAGATGCTGCTGATTAGCATTCAGCATGCTGCATAGCTTAATTGGAGACCACTTCATTAAGCAACTTTCTCAGGTTCCTTCCTTGTTGTAACTCATTTTTATCGGTTAAATCAAAAGAATCATTCCCTCATGCATCCCACAAGGTAACACCATACCTCTGTTGCATTTCTATGAGGCTTCTTGAAATTGTACAACTCTTGCAAAAGCTCATACTCTGTCTTTGAAAAAGAAAAAGAAACAAAAAATTAGGCTCTTGAAATGAGAAACAAAATCCTCAAAGCCTTCCTTCTTCAAAAAAAGAATCTGATTACTAAGATCACTCCTCTACTCTAGTACTGCAGACAACTTTCTATAAATGCAGGCAAGGAAGAGGCTGTGAGGCTTGAGAAAGTAATACTTCACAGCCTCAGCTGAACATTTTGCAATTGCTTAACTTTAAACCTGACTTCAAAAACACAGCTTTAAAAACTAAACATTTACAGTCTGTTAGTTAAAAGAGTCTCTGAAATTAAATAAACATTTTGCTGAACTATGGTCCCAACGAGATGCTGAGTAAAACTGAGACAGCAGATTTAGGCAGACAAAACCAACAGGAGAGTATGCTTGTAAACGAAAACCGGACAGGTAAAGTCTTCAGGCTGGCTGGCCAAATTCACAAGTGAACTATTACAGAGGGGCTTGTCAGCCCTACTCCTTGATAATATTCAGGTTTAATTAAACAAGGATAAACAGATCTCATTCTTTATTTGACAGCATTCAAAAGGTGATTGCTCATGAATTTTTCAGGAGTAGAGGGTGAAGAAAATACAAAGCAACTTTAGGGCAATATTTTCAATTTTAGACTTTTTTGGTGGGAAGACAATACTCTTCCCTATTGGTGAACCATATTTGCTTTTTAGCTTTTCCTTATATTCTTACATTTCAAGTGTTAACTTTGAATGGAATTATCGTAATTTACAATAAGGGGAACCTAGTTAAGAAATATTAACTTCAAATGAAATCATCATATCAAAAAAGGTGCACTGGATGCTCTGCATAAGTCCGCTTCCAAAAGCTGTTCCTAGAACTGAGAACTTACCCCAGCACAAAACCAAAAAAAGCACAAAAAACAAAACAACACCCCCCCCAATAAAAAACCAACCAACCAAAACAAAAAAACGCTCTGCACAAGTCCACTTCCGAAAGCTGTTCCTAGAACTGAGAACTTATCCCAGCACAAAACCAAAAAAAAGCACAAGAAACAAAACACCCCCCCCCCCCAATAAAAAACCAACCAACCAAAACAAAAAAAAACCCAAACCTCCTCCATTATTTTATTCAGAATGTATTTTACCTAAGAGAGGTATTAAATTTTATTCTCATATGGCAAGACCCCCACGGTGCCTCCCCTTTGTTGTATGCTTCTCTCTGTGACTCAGAGCAACTGGCAATGCACACTGTCTGAAGATACTCTGCGATCCTAAATACTGAACGTCAGAAGCTCACAGAGGTCAGGGATGCTATATTCACTTCTTTACGGTGTACAAGGAAGCAGTAGTCTAGCTGAAACTCAAGGATGTCAGATGTTCTCCAGCATAAGCTGAGGTTAAAACAGTGTTAAAGAGAGATTTAAATGCTAAAAACAGTCAACATATTGCAGAAGAATTTGTAAACCTAAATACCACGCCAAATTTTCAGGGCAGATTAGTTGGTTCCTAAAAATCATGTTCACGTCAAGAAAAGCTGCTAACTGTTTTGCACTTTTGAGGATCTACATATTTATGACTCTGTACAGGTGAGCCAACTTTGCTGTGCAGGCAAGTTATAAATGGAATACAAGGCAGAGTCTTAAGCTCAGATCCATGGCATCAGAGACAACAGCTGCTTGCTCACCCTTATACTCAGCAGTCGAGACAAAGGAAATGAAAGTAACAGCCTCTCATCAGGACAAGTTACCACTCTTCAGGGTTAAAAAATGATACAATCTGTCATCCGTCCCTGATGAATCTTGCTATGGGTATTTGGAATGCTACCTTTAGAAACTCAAGCATAGCTTTTATTGACCAAGCAACAAGCAGAACTGAGCCATACATCCTTGAGCTGAAACCAAGACAGAATGGTACGAGGCCTCTCCATTGTCACGCTTACCTGTGTGTACATTTCTTTGAAGGGATTTTTAACTGAAAAAAAATCTAAGTCAATGTCTAACACATATGCATCCCCTTTCTGCAGTACTTGGCAGACGTCTTTAACAACTTCCCTTATTGAGTATTCACTGAGAGAGCTTGAAGCTGAGCACCCTGATAATGTTTCTGCCTTGTTTGGGGCACTTGCATTTTGTACTTCCTTTTTCTTCAGACTTGGGGTGCTGTGATCAACTTCACCAGGAGCCACTGATGAAGAGGCGAAAGCGGTGCTTGCTGTGTCATCTGTATTTAGCTTCAGTCTCTTAGCAGATGCTACTTCACCATTTTCTTCCTGGCTGTTTGACGCTTCAGTAGGATTGATGAGAATGACATGTAAATTTAAAGGCTTCTGGTTTTCTAGCTGATCAGCAGGGACATAAAGACCATCACTTAAAAAGTAATGATCTGTACCTGTAACCCTACAATTGACAATAACTCATGGTTAATATACATCTTTGCAAAGAGCTTAGGAAAAAGAGTGTACTAAGGGATTCTAGGAAAAATGAATAGGTGACTGATGGGTAACAAAAGCAATAAAACTGTGTACACAAAATTATTTATTTTAATCTGCAGGTTTTAAATTGAACTTTTTAATACTTCTTTATTGCTGAATCAATATATTAAAATTCACTCTATTTTTTATGATAGCCCTACAAGGTTTTTAATGGATAAGAAAAAGATTGTACATTATGTGCTACTAAGATTAATTTGTCATTGAATTGCATTTTGAAGACAATATTCAGAATTTAACAAGATATTGTCAATATTGAGGCATATAAGACTGCAAAGCTATGGATATTTTTTCTTGGATTTCCTACTTTTTAAGGAAAATTCTGTTAGCTGTGTTTGAGAATTTCCCTGAAACACATGGATATTGATTTAGTAAACGTAAAATATTATGAATTAATAGGTAGCATTTAACTTTTCTTTATCACCGATATAGATTCCCTGTTCTAACTGGGGGAGTGCAGGTAGCTTGAGGATGAATAGCTACACATCAATGGAAACCACTTAATTAAAAACAAACAAACAAACTAAAACCAACGCTAAAAACTCTGCTTACAGTGAAAATTTAAAGTATATTATTCTGAAGCCATATTTCAGTACATTAAACGTTAAGCATCATAAATTCAGATTAAAAAACAAGTTAAGAAGTGAGAATTTCTGCTCACTTGTGTTAATGCCTTATTTGATTGCAGGGTATCATCATCAGTCAACCACAAAGACAAATAATTTCATGAGCAGCAGAAATTTGAAGCTTCGTTCCCCCGTGTCTTGTGGCTGGATCATCCTAAGCCTGCTAAGGTGAGAGCCTGGATCACAACTTCATCTTCTTAATGGGGCATTCACAAGGCCTCTTCTCAGAAATTCTCCAGGGTTCAACAATAGCTCATGCTACAGCCTTTTCCTTAGTGGGACGCTAACATAGGTATCTATTGCCTATCCAGCCACCTGTAGTCAAGAACACTTCTAGGAAGTTCGT